TACCCGTTTGCACCAACATATGTGTTAATTATATTTTATTTAGAAATTTGTTTAATAAAGCAACATTTCTTATAACAAATTCTCTTTTTTAAATTCCCAATTTACAACAAATACTTTTGATACTGGTCTACATAAAAGTTTGTAAAAAATACAAAAATTATGGTTGAAATTGACATGAAATTTTGTTATTAAATCTACAAAATATCAGTTATAATTACAAACTACTTATTCAATTAGTTGACAGATTACAGTTGGTTGTAAACTTAACAAAAAGATATGTGAACCTGGATTAACATAAAATCTGGTTATTATTTGGTTAAATTTAAGAAATATTTTTTTACTATGTACGCATAATTTATGTAAAATTTATTAAAACTATTTGGTTAGGTTCAAATTCAAATGAGTATTATTAATTACCGGAAGACGAATTGTTTTAAAAACCTCCGTTTTAATTGGGACTAATGTTAATGGGGCGTTTTTCTTTCCTGTAAATGTTGTGGTATAATACTAATAGTTTTGGAAAATAAGACAACTTAAAATCGATAAATACTTCGGTAGAGTGTAAAAACCGTTTTCTTTTCAGATCAAAAAAATTTAAAAAAATGTTTTTTTCGTTTATTTTTCAGGCTACATCTCTAATACACTCTTAACATGAGTTTGTAGTTTGGTAATTTCATTTTGTAAAATTTTAACATAAGTAATTTTTTGTAGAAAATCAGGGTTTGCATTTATATTTTAACAAAGGAAAATATTTTACCCAAAGTTTTGTAAAGGTAATATGCAATTTTGTAAGCATTTTTTTAATTTTAAAGGTTACTGATTATTTTGTTAAGGTTTAACAAATTATTTCGTTGAAAAAGTACACGTGATTTCAGGCAGTCAATCAATACATTTCCCACTGAAAATACGCATCAACAAGTTTAACTGACTTCAGCGTCTGCAACTTGACTTGTTGACATAGGATTTTGTTATTAAATCTACAAAATGTCTGTTATAATTACAAACTACTTTATTCAATTAGATTACAGTTGGCTTTAATGTTATAAATAATATAAAGCAATTTTAGTTGATTTTCATAGACAAAAAATAATATTATAATATTTATTTTAAAACTTAATAACAATAATAACTATGATTAAAAACCGTTTACAACCAAACAATTTACTTTGCCTAAACGGCATAGGGCCGGTGCCTTGCGGCACTCTATTATTATATCGTTACGAATAATTTCTATGAGCTGATTTTCTTTTCTTTTCTAGGTTCGGATGGCGGAAGTGCAAGCCAAGGTGGCTCGGAGGCGAGTTTCGGTCGTCGAAGGGGAAAATGCAAATGGTTCAACGTAGCGAAGGGATGGGGTTTTATCACGCCAGATGACGGTGGACAAGACGTTTTTGTACATCAGGTACGTACAGAGGATTTTTAAAGAAATCATAGACTGCTTACCCATGCTCTAGTCGATATTTTCATCTCCTTATAATTTGACTATTTCATTTCAAGAGAGTATACTCTCTTGAAATGAAATAGTCAAATTCTACTATTCAAATTAGTACCAGCCTTGTTTACTAATAAAATAGTGATTTTCACTTTTAAATAGTTATTTTTTACTACCTAAATAGTTATGCCTCATTCAGAACCTCGTAATTAGTGAAATAAATTAGTGGTTTCAATTATCGTAAAAGTTTGTCTTATGAATATACACAGTGTTGTTCAAAACCAAAAAATTAGTGATAGTACTTTTCAATTAGTGGAAAAAGTTTGCAAACTCCAAACATTTACCACTAATATTTTATGTCAAAAGCAAAAAGTTTAAAGATTTGCCAGTGAAGGTAAGGTTATATAAATAATATTTTAATGATTGTAAAAAATAATATTTTACTATAATTAATATTTTTAAAGCCTCATTCAGAACCTCGCAAAACATCTAAAATTAAGGGAATTTGCTAAAAGATTGTCCATTTTTCATAACCTGACAAAACAATATTAATTATATTAAAATAATATTTTGTACAACCATTACAATAATATTTATATAACCTTACCTTCACTGGCAAATCTTCAAACTTTTTGCTTTTGATATAAAATATCCGCGCACATGCGCAAAGCCGCTTTCCAATTATAATTAGTGGTAAAAGTTAAAAGTTTTCCATCAATTGAAAAGTACTACCACTAATTTTTTGGTTGTGAACAACACTCTGTGTATTCATAAGACAAACTTTTACGTTAAGTGAAACCACTAATTTATTCCACTAATTACGAGGTTCTGAATGGGGCTTTAAAGTTTTACTAATTTAATCTAATTTGTTTAGTCGTTTTTAATTTTTGCGGCCAACAGTTTAGCTCAAAACAGCAACAAAAAAAATATTCAACTTTTTATATTTATATTACTAAATTAACAATATTCATTGACAGATATAACTAATTTTTACAAAAGTAGCAGTGAAGCAGCGATTCGCTGGACAAGTGAGAGACTCGAGTTCAAACCCCGGCTGGGTCAAAACATTTTTAATTTTAAATATACCAATTTGGTAGAATTTGACTAATTACACTGTAGGTAAATTTATAACTTTTTAAATATCACAGCTAAACGCTCTGACACGTAAACATAATTTTTGGTCGTGGATTCCAAATTCGTTTCTCGGTTTAGCTGAATCAGGTCTAAAAAAAATTACTAATCGAAATCCGATCCGGGGACACACTGTATACTGGTATATTATAATTTGTAAAAATAATTTATTTCACCTCTTGTGCCAACATAATAGGAATGTTTTTATTGCATTTATTTTAATATCCTCAATTATACTAAAATACTAAAAAATCAACAAAAAACATTTTAAATTTCCTAAACAATTTAAGAGAAACCCTCAGGGACAGGTGATCCTTTTGATCACAGTGCTTTTGATCAATTAACTTAAAATTTTGCAAGAAATTGTTATTTTTTTTAATTTAGAACAGATGTGTGGGTCCAGCCAAATTGAATTTTTTATAAATTTATACAGGGTGTTTAAATTTATACAGGGTGTTTCCAATATCTTTGAATTTTGACCTGATACAGCTAAACCAAGCACGGATTTGTAATCTACGACCAAAAATTAAGTTTACGTGTCCGAGCGTTTAGCTGAGATATTTTCACCTCCCTACAGTGTTATTAGTGACTGCTTTTTCGCCCTGACAATTAGTCAAATATGACTTATAATTATAATTAGTCATTTTTGACTAAATCATTAACAAAAATTTAAATGCCAATTCTACAGGTGGAGGTGCATACGAGAAGAAAATAATCGATTTCCCATTGTCATGTTATAAAATATGCGTTATAAGATATGCGTTAATTAAATACATCTCCTATATATATGGCCATGTGCATATGCATATCTTGAAGATATTATCTTCTAACGTGAATTAAAAAGAATGATTTTTTTTCTCGTATGCACTTATGCATGTAGAAGAAATTTTTTGTTAACTTTTACCGCACTGTTTTAATAAACTTTAATGTTTACTGAGTCTAGGATTTTAAAGCGTCGGAAAAAAAGCAACAATTGGGAAAAAATACCAGTTTTTTTATTTTTTGGAAAATATATTCATTTCAAAATTAGTAGCAATCAACAACTTATCATTATTTTAATTTTAATAAAGTATCCTTAATTACAAAAAAAAAAATAAAACTAAACATTGAATTAAATTAAATTGATTTAAGAAAATAATCTTAGGTAAACGTTAAATATACTTACGGTTTTGCAAAAAGGAGTCTTTTAAAAATATCCAATTACAAAATAATAATTTTATAAATAGAAGTGTCAAATAAAACGACAGTTATGTAAATACAGAAGCAAATATGGTTTTTTTGCGGCCCTGTAGAATATTCTTACTGATTTAAAATAAAACGAATAATTATTAAAATCATATTATTATTATTATAATCAGCTTCGAAAATTCACTTTTTTCTCGATATCAGTGTACGGATATTTTACGTAAAAATTTGTTTTTTTTTTGAAAAATTGACTTTTGAATTTTGTTCGTATTACCCTTAAAATAAAATGAAAAAATGCAAAAGTCAATTTTTCTAAAAATTTCACAAATTTTCCGTTTTAATCAGGAAAAAAAATATTTCGGCTCAATTTTTCCGGAAATTTTAATACCCTGTGTCAAACCAAAATTATTAATCTGTCATTTTCGTCTAGAAGATCCGGCAACACTGGATTACGAACACGTGATTATCAAGGGTTATTTGGTTTGATTTATTTGGTTACAATATATAGTGCCCTTTGTATTAAAATATATAAAAACTATAAAATCAGTTGGAAAATTGGCAGTTTTTTAAATTAAATGTAATAAAATGACAAAATAAATTTTGTATTTGCAAGTTTGTACCTTTCGCTATTTATGCATTAAGTATAAAAGTAACTCCACCTTATACTTGAAAAAGGACAACTTTGTTCCATAAAAAAAAACTTTCCTCTAGGATTTGTGAAAAGCTGATTAGTTCCATGGGTGATAAAGTTCTCAATGAAATAATATCAAAAATTAAAAAATCTAAGTATTATTCGGTGTCAGTGCCACTGACTCAGTGGACGCCATACGAATCTCATATCGATCAACTGACTATAGTTGTTCAATATATTGAAGGATCGATCCCAAATGAAAGATTTTTAACCTTTTTATCAAACTGTGGCCATCCCGGTGAAGCTACAGCAAACGCTTTACTACAATTTTTAGGCAACCATCAAAATGATCGATATCAATTGTCGCGGCCAATCATACGATAATGCTGCAAATATGAGCATCAAATACAAAGGCATGCAAGCTCTGATTTTGGGGAAATCCTTTATCAGTGTTTGTACCATGTCATTCTTTTAATTTAGTTGGATAGGCTGCTGCTAATGCTTGCACATCGGCTGTTCAATTCTTTGATTTCGTTCAGAATTTATATACATTTTTCACAGTAAGTACAGAAAGATACCGAATTCTAACTGAACAATTATCAGAAAAAACAACGTGTTAACATGTTGAAAATGCTTAGCGATACACGCTGGTCTTGTCGAGCTGAAGCTACAAAAGCTATTGTCGACGGTTATTCTGAAATTAAAGAAGCTCTTACCAGCATAAGAAGCAAAAAGAGATCGAGAGAATTGAAGCAACGCATCTTTTGGAGCCATTTTACGCTACAAACAAAATCTTGCAGGACCCGAAGATGCCTCTTGAGTCTGCAATGCATACATTGAAATCACTGAAATTATTTGTTAATTCCAAAAGAGACGTGTTTGACAAATACGAAGAAGCTGCTAAAGGAATATCAAGTACTGACCAGTATGTATAATCTCGCACCAGAACCGATTATATGAAAGCACAAGATGCTAACTTGTAACCATCCACCAAATTTAAAGTGTCAGACTTTATCCCAGTGATCGATCAGCTATGTGTTTCTCTTACTGAAAGATTGCATGCATACGATGATGTACGTTCAAAATTTGGATTTCTTAATCATTTAGAGGAGATGTATGCTGCAAATTTGTATGCTGCAGCAGATGAATTGGTGAAACTTTAAAAAGGCGATTTAGAACCTATTCTTGGTAATGAGTTGGTTCAATTGGTATCTTTGATGAACTTATACAAAACAGACTATAAAGAAGACCTATCTAAGGAGCTGTTCTATTATCAAATTCTTGAAAATCAAAATTTCAGAGCTACATTCCCAAACATCGAAATCACACTGCGAATGAACTTGGTTTTGATGGTGTCAAATTACATTGGAAATGAAAATTATAAAAAATAGGCTAAGAACTACGATGGGACAAAACCGCATATCCAAGTTATTCCTAGCATTAAAAGTGATTTACTGGATTTCAGCGAAATCATCAAAGATTTTTTGTTGAAAAAAGCTCGCATGAGAGGCTTTAATTTAATGATTTTTTACTTATTGTGTGATTTGATTTGTAATTGCATGTTTTTTAATACCATACGACTAAATAAATAAATGCAAGAAAAATATTATTTAACCTATTTGAAAAATGATTAGGGGCCTCCACTCCCTTGTTGCCCCAGGGCCTCCACACCTGTAAATCCGGCTCTGGTTAAACAAATATTAAAAATATTCCCCAACACAAAAACAAAAGTGCTTAAAGTTCTTTTCGCTAATGATGTTCAGAAGCGAAGTTTAACTGAGATAACTCAAAAGTACTTTAACCACTTAGTGTTTTGTTTTGGTATTGAGGAATATTTCTAATATTTGTTTAACTCCACCTTAATATAAAAATCTTCCAAAAACCTAGAAATTCTGAACAACACTTTTTACAGAGTAAATTGCATATGATTTTGTATGGTTTTTAACTTTCTTATAATCCCTTTTTTAATAAAAAAAATATGCTACTTGTGTATTTCATATACGAAATACACAAGAAGCATATTTTTTTATTATATATAATTCATATAATAGACAAATTGTTATTATTATTTTTTAATGATACTTCTAAAATTTATTATTTATTATGTATATTTACCCTAAGAACAAACGGGTCCATTTTTTAAATTTGGAGGTTATAATTTATTCTAATATATGGGTCATTCAACCAAATATTTTTTTTTGGGGTGTGACCCATGGGTCACACCTGCAGGCTTGTTTGTTAATTTTTGTAGGATGTAAATAATGTTTTATAAAACTACAAACAATAGTTTTTTTGTAAAAACATACTAGCTTTTCAAGGAAAATATTCATTCTTTATTAGGAAGACCCCTTAAAAATTCAGTTAAATTGAAAAATGCGATTTTTTCTAGCCTTGCGGCCTTTACATAAAATACACTCACAGGAAAAATAATCGATCCACACAAATTTTCGATGAATTTCAATTGCAAATAACTTTTTTATTTGATGTCGGATTTAAACGAATATTAAAGAATCTTGTAGATAAATTAATGGACAATCGCTAACATTTTAAAAAATTACTAAAAAATAGACGTACGTTTATAATATACAGGTTTAAACAAAAAGATGTTTTTTACCATAAGTTTAAGACACTCTGTATACTGTATACTCTATAGAGTGGCAAAACCGTATATTGTTCTAAATTAAGTTTTATTTATCAAGTCACATCTATTCTTAATAGTTTTGTTTTTGGTTCACCTCGATATATTTATTTTTGTGGAAAATATGGATTTAAAAAAAAAACATTGCAATTTCCAATATTTTTCTGTATGAAGAACTAAGGTTGCTATGGTCCATCCATATGCTATGGAGAATGACAGTGACAGCTTTGTTGAATCATCCCATACTTGGACATGTCATACACGGCTTTTAAAAGCTATCCTATTGCAAATTAATGCTTAAATTTTAAGGTGTGGATATGTCCCAGACTGATGTTGCCAGAGCCATTAATTTAATCCAGGATGGACGGTCACAGTATTACGTGGCAAGTGTTTTAAACGTCACAAGAAGTAAAGTACAAAGGCCAACATCAGTCGGAGACATTTTTAAAAATAAGAAAACACCTCAAAATAATTACATTAATTTACAAAAAACAATTTGATAGCTTTTGAAAGCTGTATATGACATGTCCAAGTATGGGATGATTCAACAAAACTGTCACTGTCATCCTGCGTAGGCTATGGATGGACCATAGCAACCTTAGTTCTTCATACAGGAAAAATATTGGAAATTTCAGAGTTTTAAAAAAAAATCCATATTTTCCACAAAAATAAATATATCAAGGTGAACCAAAAACAAAACTGTTAAAAATGGATGTGACTTGATAACTAAAACTTAATTTAGAACAATATAAGGTTTTGCCACTCTACAGAGTGTCTTAAACTTATGGTAAAAAACATCTTTTTGTTTAAACCTGTATATTATAAACGTATGTGTATTTTTTAGTAACTTTTAAAATGTGAGCGATTCTCCATTAATGTATCTACAATATTATTTAATATTTGTTTAAATCCAAAATCAAATAAAAAAGTTATTTGCGATTGAAATTCATCGAAAATTTGTGTGGATCGATTATTTTGCCTGTGAGTGTACCTACACTCAGAGAAATATCATGTCATGAAAAGCATATGAAATGATATTAATTTAAATAATCGGGTAAATTTGATTCAAATAGAAAAAAATGTAGTTTTATATTCATTTACCAACAGTTTTACAATGTTTTTAAACACTTTTAAAGTGTACTCTTTTTAAAATATATATACAAAAAGAAATCTATTTATTTCATTGCCTTTCTCAACGTTATTTTAAAAATATATGTATTATACAATTGTTATACACCTTTTAATTTAATGAGAAACACCAATGACGCCAAAACATATTTGAATCCCTTTGAATTATTAGGGATTCAAATATGTTTTGGCGTCATTGGTGTTTCCCATTAAATTAATAGGTGCATAACAATTGTATAATACATATCTTTTTGAAACAACTTTGAGAAAGGCAATGAAATAAATGGATTTCTTTTTGTATATATATTTTAAAGAGGGTACACTTTAAAAGTGTTTCAAAACATTGTAAAACTGTTGGTAAATGAATTTAAAACTAAATTTTTTTCTATTTGAATCAAATTTACCCGATTATTTAAATTAATATAATTTCATATGCTTTTTTTAACTTGATATTTCTCTGAGTGTAGGTATGTCATTTTCACTGTTATTTTTTGTTTAAACAAAAGTCTTTTTTCAAATAATTGAGGTTCATTTAACGCAAATTTTTTCTTAATTGTCAAAAATAAAATAGTGTACGTATTTTTGCACAAACTTTTTAGTTTATGTCACTAAAACATACCTAATGCTGACATTTTAGCTTCATTTTTGCACTGAAGTTTATAATAGTTTGACTTTTGAACTATGAAGTCTTATGATTGTTATAATATGAAAATTATTATACGCTTACTGGCGTTTGTAGAAAAAATAAATAAAAATACATAAAATAAATGTCAACAGGGACATAAATTAACTGATATAATATTACAATTAATTATGTTTACATTTTAAAAATACTGAATGTGTGAACTTCCATTTCCTGCGATTAACCATTGTTTTTGGGTTATCAATAATTTTGACTGCATTAGTAATTTATTAATACGTGATAAACCGACAAATGTGGGATTGCATTTTAATTCATAAATAACGTTTGTTATCTTTAAATTACCCCACTTAAATTAAAAATTATTCGAGCGCATTCAATTAATTTAGGCCCCCATCAAGTGCGGTAAAATACGTTTGACATGTTTTAATGCATTAACAATCACAATATACTTGTTGCTGAACGTAACCTGTTTGTTGTATCGGCTGAAAAAAAACGGAAAAAATGAGCGAGGGTTGCAGACAATGCCCTCTCACGTATTGTTAAGTACCTGCCAGTTACGGCGATTGGCTGTTTTTTACGATTTGCACCTTTCAAACTAGTTGAATGTAAAAACAGCCGGTGAAAAAATAGAGGCAAACTAGATGATTTGTTTGAGTTTGTTAATCAGGTTTGTTGGATTTTCTATTATTTGTTTTCTAGTTTTGAGTTTTTTAATCAAGTGGCAATAGATATGTAAATGGGTTTTTGATATACCAACATAATAGCTTTAACTTTTTAACTATTCTTTGTAATATAATGTAACATTTAGATTTTTAATTCTAATGTAAAAATAACAAGTGGTCAGAATTTAATAAAAAAGGTAGTAGGTACACATTTTTTAACTATTGTTAATTTTAGAATAGGTAAAATTAAAACTGTTAGGGTATACATTCTATAGAAGGTATACTATAGTAATACTAATTGTCAAACAATATTTTACCGTTGAAATATGCCTACACAGTAATTCAACCATAATTCTTGTAATTTACAAACCTTTTTGCAGACCCAGTGACAAAAGTATATGTTGGAAATTGGGAACTTAAATGAAAATAATTATGATAAGAAATGTTGCTTTGTTAATCAATTTCCTAAAAAAAATTAACAAATACCTACTTAAATGAACATACACACAATTAAATAACACACCATTCTAAAATCATCAAATTATAAAGAAATTTGGTACAATATAATTATCAGTACTACAACACTTACTGATGTATTTCTTAACTTTAACCCACTTCAATGTATCCTCTAATTTCAGTTTGAAAACCAGTGATGGCATCTTTTTTCAGATACTTCGCACACTCGTTAAATAGGTATAATGAAACCGAATAACAAGACTAAGAGATTTCTGGTAATATATTATAAACACTCTGGACAGTTGTTACGAACACATTACGAATTAGAATAAAGTAAGCAGACACATAAGTTGCAGACGCTGATGTCAGTTGAACTTGATGCGTATTTTCAGTGGGAAATGTTTTAATTGACTGCCAGAAATCACGTGTACTTTTTCAACGAAATAATTTGTTAAACATTAACAAAATAATCTGTAACCTTTGAATTTAACAAAATGCTTACAAAATTGCATATTACAAAACTTTCGGTAAAATATTTTACTTTGTTAAAATATTCTAGAAAAAATTATGATAAAATTTTACAAAATAAAATTAACAAACTACAAACTCATGTGTATGTTAAAAATACAGGTTTGGGTAATACACAAAGAATATTTGAGGAGCGTCTGTAATCACCTTAAAAGTGGTTGAAGACCAATATTTTCTATTAAAAAAACAATAGATCTGATCAAAACCAAACATGTCCAACCAACTAATCACACCTCTCCAACCAGTTAAGTGTCATCGAGATGGCAGTGCCACCTGCTGTTTTGGTGTGTCATTATGGCACTCAAAACAGTTACTGTAAAATGTTACGGTTTTTGTTTTTGTAAAAAAATGAGTATGTAAAAAAGTTAAATTATTAAATTGAAAGTGTTTTTAAGAGATTAATTTACAGGGTATATTTGAGTGTATTTATACCTAACTTTTAAAATGTACAGTGTGTCTATAGACACAATAGTGTAAGTAAATATTGACATAGCACTTTGACAAAACACTGAAATTAGGGATTCAATATTTACCGATATGTAATCTCTCTAAAAATGAATTAGTTAAAAATGACTAATTGTCATAGCGAAAAAGCAGCCACTAATAATTCTAGTCGACAGCAATTTATATCCCAGACATTTAGCAGTCAATTCCTATGTAAAATTGTCTGCTAAATCCGAAAATATCGTCAAAAGTCATAAAAGTAGAACAGTTTTTTAGATATGGTCAACTTTTCATATAATATAGAATTGGCGGTCTTTTTGGATTCAGGGAACAATTTTACATAAGAATTTTCTGTTAAATGTCCGGAATACAAATTGCTGTGGACAACAGTTATTAGTGACTGCTTTTTCACTTTAAAAACTAGTCATTGACTAATTCACTTTTAGAGAGGTGGAATACCAAAACGGTTATTTTGTACGACTTTTTTTGGCTTTTTGTTTGACTTTTTTGTATTTTTTTTAATTATTTTTTCATTTTCTGTACATAACTACATTTTTTTAATGTCACTCATTTGTTTTTTAGTCTTTTTGTCTATTCGACTTTTTTTGATTTTTTGTATGATTTTTTACATTTCTTTCATTTGTTCCTTTGGATTTTTTTTTACTTATTCTACTTGTTAACTTTATTTTTTCTTTCAGAGCGTAATACAAATGACAGGATTTCGATCGTTGGGTGATGAAGAAGAGGTGGAATTCGAATGTCAAGTTTCAGACAAAGGTCTGGAAGCCACAAAAGTAACAGGGCCTCAAAGTACAGATTGCAGGGGCTCCCACAGAAGACCGGCGTCAAAGAAAAGGTTCAGAAAAATAAGGTATCATTCATACCACACTTTAACATTAGATATTATTAGTAGTTTTACGATTCTTAGGTTATGCTGACTGAGGCAAAAGTTTTACTGTAGGGCCGTTTCTATAGAAACGTTTTACTACATAGTCTTTCCATCTCAAATCGACCAGGCAAAAATGGCTGGGTCGTTATTTTTTAATGAATTTTTTTTACAGTTTCTCTACAGAATTCGATGAGACCTTCTTTTTGTTTAAATTTGTTTTGGTTACCTGTAGGAAATCTTTGTAAAATTTTTGTGAAACATCTCTTTTTACGAGTGACATTTTTTCTTAAAAATGCGATAACTTGGCCAAAAATGTTTCGATCGTAAATTTTTTTTTTTAAATTGTAGGTAAATGTTTACTATATATAAAATATATACAGAAAATATATAAAAAATTAAGTGAATTCACTCAATTTTTTTTTAAATTTGTTTTTCCCAAAAAGGCAAAAAAAATTGAGGTCAAAATGTTGAAATTTTTTTTACTTTATATTTTGTTTGTTTAAAGTTCATAATATGAACAACTTTCACCAAAAGTCCCTTTTGACATATTTAACATAATTTTATCACTGGACCGGAAATGGTCTTAACTTTTTATTTTTAATGAAACACCCTAGGCGTTTTTACATATTTTGATTGAAAATAAAATTCTGAATACATACATATATGTCATTTGTCAATTTTTGACAGGTCAAATCATTTTGTAAATAAATTTTATTTCTATATCTAGAGTGCCTTTAAGAGTCTGTAAAAAATACAATGTTATTCTTTTTTTGCAATGTTGGTATTTGGGAGCTTTAAAAAATTTAAAAACCATACTTTATGCCAAACTATTTTTTTTAATAAAAGGGGGTGGTTTGTTAGTCACAAAATAAATCCACTTTTTTTAAAATTTGCATAATCCATTTTTTAGTAATATCGCTTTCAAACTCTTAATTAAATTTGAATGTTTATTAGGTTTTACAGTGTGTACAGAAGTAAATAAATTAAGAAGGCTTTGAAACCTTTGTGTTTTAAAAGATTTGACAGTTCGTTAATTATTTTTGCTTATAAGTAAATATTAACATTTTATTTTATTTATTTTACCATCATAACATACGCTAAAACTTTTTATAAAATAAAATAAAAATAATAATTGAGGTGGTTAGAAGGTGTGTGAGTAATTGCTCAACATTTTTTGGTTTTAAAACTACAAAATAAAATCATTTAAATATTTTGATTATAAATAGTTATATCTAACCGCCCCCCGTGGCGGCTGGTGGACTTTATGTATACCAATATCTCAGTTATTAGACATGGGACCCACACCAAATGGATAATAGTTTATAATGACATTAAATAAACAAGTTCGACGCAAACAGAATTTAAATTGAAGTTTGCGAAAAAGAGTTAGTTTTTCCAGTCGCCTCTCCCGCCTCCAGGCCCCCCTATTCGAGATAATTCAAATTAAAGTGGTGCAATTTATTATATACTATAATTTTTTGACAAATTTAAAATTTTATTTAAAAAATCCAAATATTACAGGTTTTATAACATTTTCAATATTTTTTTATTTTATTAAAATAAATAATAAAAATTTTAATTTTAAATTAGTAGATAATAAATTGCACCACTTTAATTTGAATTATCTTAAATAGAGGGGCCTGGAGGCGGGTGAGGCGACAGGAAAAACTAACTTCAATTTAAATTCTGTTTGCGCCGAACTTGTCTATTTAATGTCATTATAAACTATTATAAATTTGGTGTGGGCCCAATGTCTAATAACTGAAATATTGGTATACCCAAAATCCACCAGCCGCCACTGACCGCCCCATAGTGTAATCATTGTAGGGAATCTCTGGCAATAAATAAAAACCGAAATATCAAATCAAATGGAAATTTGTTATTTAATCTGCGCATTAGTTCTTAGGCTTAATACTTATTTTCCTTCCTGAAAGAGCCTCAGTCAAAAAGAGTTTCACGACTCATATCTGTTAACCGACCAACAATTGTTTGTATTCTTCGAAATCGCGTTTTTATAAGTTTCTTGTGCGTACTTTTTATTATTGGAACCAAAATTAACTTACTTTTTACTTTTACATCTTTTAAAAGTTACAAATGCAAAAATATTAGGAATTTACATTTTAAAATCTTTAATAATTTAATTTACTTACTTAAGAGCATTTCCGGTGAAACCAGAAGTGACAAAAATATGTTAAATATGTTAAAATGTTCTAAATTACACTTTATATACATAGGTCATCCCAGTTTCATGACCCTAGATAAAAAACCAAATTTTTATTAAAAAAATATTATTTTTAAAATAACGAATTTTATATCAACTTTAAACGAAAAAAATATAAATTAAAAAAAATATGGCTATGTCAAAACTTTGACCTTAATTTTTTTTGCCTTTTATAGAAAAAACAAATAAAAAAAATTGAGTAAATTTACTTCATTTATTATATTGTAAAAATTGTAACGATCGAAATTTAATAAAAAATGTAAATCGTAAAAAGAGAAAAATCGATGTTTCTGTCCATTTTTTAGATTTCCTACGGGAGAACAAAACAAATTTAACCAAAAAAAAATACGGGTGTCATTGATTTTGGCAGAGAAACTGTAAAAAAAATTCGTTGAAAAATAACGACCGGGGTAGGTTTTTGCCTGGTCGATTTGAGATGGAAAGATTATATAGTTAAATGTTTCTATAGAAACTTAAATATAATAACAACTGTTTTTCAGGTGTTACAATTGCGGGGAGTTCGCCAATCACATAGCGGCAAAATGCACGATGGGTCCGCAGCCGAAAAGATGCCACAACTGTAAAAGTTCGGACCATTTAATCGCAGACTGTCCCACCAGAACGGAAAGGACCAGCAAATCGGAAACGACAGAGGGCACGGAAAACGGAGCAGGAACGACACCGGACACCACCGCCATCTGTGAGGCGGCGCCTCAAGCTAAACCAAACGAATAACCGCCGATAATGAAGATCGCTGTAATTCTCCCGCGCTGGCTTTGAGCGTGGATGGTAGATGGCGGGTGTATATATTTTTTGACTGGAAATTCGAAATTAGTTTTAGTTTAGGATGATGATGTAAATAATTGCAGTAATTTTGCGAACTTGTTCGTAAGGTTGTTGTGATAGAGAGGTTATAAAATATGCAACGGGAGTTTTTGCGTATTTTGCAACTTATGTGCAATTTTTGACGAATTTACATATCGCGCTGTGAAATTTAATTTTGAATATTAGTTTTTTTATCAAAAAAAACTTAGATTTGAAAACACAGATGTAGGTAAAACAGTTTTCTTTTTTAATTAATAATAATACTTAAGGGACGATTTTTACCAGTGACTAAATTTAGGTTCCATTATTTTACTTAGTTAACATAAAATTGATAGATTTGCGTATTTTAGGTACACCATTTTCTTAATTTTAGAATAAGAAATCAAAGCAAATTACTTTGGTTATATCCATAGGGGACCAATCCAAAAATGTTTTAAGTATATTACCTAAATTAGCTATTAAAATTGCCCATTTAGTAGAGTTAATAAAAATAAAAGCCTTGGAAATGTATGGTTCGTAGATTAAAAGAATAAAGATTTTGTATACCTCTCTATTTTTTAATTCAAGGTTTTTTATTTTTATCTCACTTGAATTTACTTTATAAAAAATGTATTTAGTTGTAGGAAGATGTAGTGTTATTTAGGCGGAAACTCAAAATTATTACTTTTTTATATATATTTATTGTAAAGAAATTTTATTTATTAAGTTGTCATTGTTTAACATTTTTGTTTCTAATTTTATTTTGAAAAATTATGACAATATTACTTGATTTCGGCGTTTTTATCAGAGTTTTTATTTTTTAATTTTATTTGAAATTTTTTGGAGATATTTTTCGTAGATTTTATCTTTTATTTCTGGCGTCGAATTATTCTACAACATCTACGTAAAATAAAGAACTACATCGTTTAGGTTAGGAATTTTTACGATAATTTCTTAATATAACTCAAGAAGACTGAATAAAGGAGGAGTAACTCTCGACCATAAGGTTATGCTAAATAGCGTGCGTTACTACTACGTACATTTTTTTGGCGTGCCCCCACCCAGCAAGTTACCTACTCCTCCTGCAATTAGTCTTCTTGCTATAACTTAATTTTTGTTTTTGTTAGGAATTATGTTTTTAGATTTAATGTATATTTTGTAAAACTTAACCGTCTACCTCATTTTTGTACAGATATTTTTACTGAAAAAAACGTTCCTATATAGTGCCACAAACGGTGACGTGTAGTCAATATATTTCACATTGAGATGTTACTGGTCACATTTACATACATAGGTCACAATCCACACAAGAAGGTCTGTTCTATATCGTTTAGCGCATATTGGCGGCCATTTTTATGTTGTTTACTATTCTTGTGCTTTGGGTTTGTGCTGTTTATACAAATTAATATTCGTTTTAAATGTTGTATTTCTTACAGATGCACTTGTAAGCCTTAAAAAAGGCCTTAAAGTGGTAAGGGCAACCATTTTACTCCTCTTTTGTAAAAAATAAACCCTAATCTATCAGGGTTGTAATCAATTTTAAGGTTAATTTGGGGGTTATGGTTGTCCTTAGCACTTTAGGGCTTACAAGTGCCTCTGTAAGAAACATTTTAATCTGTACAGCTGTATAAACAGCACAAACCCAAAGCACAATAACTGTAAATAACATAAAAATGGCCGCCGTTAGAGTCTGTGCAGTGGGTTGCCTAACTTCTTGATTTTAGTATGCGCGAATAGAGATAGAACAGACCTTGTTGAGTAGATTGTGACGTAGGTATAACTTAATTAATTTAAGATTTTCACCATGCGCGTACCTGAAATGCATTTTATTCACATAATTTGTGTGCAAGTACTTCACTAACCACAGTTGGAATAAATAAAGAAAAATCTTAATTTTTCTTCTTTATCTACGACTATTTCAATAGACTGATTATTTTTAAGCTCAGGGATTTACCACACCGTTACTTTTTAGAAACAAATATTATTATAGATTTTTGAATACGTAAATATAGGTAGTTTTAGATATTACCGAGTTTTATTTTTATCAACATCTTTATATTTTTAATTGTTAAATCCATTAGAGCAGTAGTAGGTAAGTTATGTTGTTTATAAAATAAAAGGCACTTCTCTGCTGGTTTGATTAATTTTAATAACCGACTAGTTTCGCCTTTAAGGCATCATCAGGGTTTACGTCAGTATTGGGATTTTTAACATTGACGTAAACCCTGATGATGCCTTAAAGGCGAAACTAGTCGGTTATTAAAATTAATCAAACCAGCAGAGAAGTGCCTTTTATTTTATAAACAACATATCCTTATATTTTGTTTTGTTACTTTATTTATTGATTTAAAAGGTTTGGTGGATAAAAAATAACAATTATCTAAAAAAAAATTAATATATAAAAACTGGGCTATTGGAAAAATCATTTCCTGGAGATGCGAAGCATGCAACGGCATCGGGCAGATAAGATTGGAGATAACGTAGGTGGATATTTAGGATGGAATAGGGAGTGTGTCGGTGGTCCGTGGAGTCTGTGTACCGGTCCTGGAATCAATATTCGGCAAGGTGCGGTCATTAAACCCACCCTGGATGCGGCCCGAATAGACTCACTTCTGCTCGTCGCCAAAAGCTCCGATAAATATCACTGTCAAACATACATAATCGATCTATACATATCAATTACACAGGTCAACCACAAGGTTTTACTTCGTTTTTTTTGCTTTAAGTTTGTATACAGTGTCGGAAATTTCCTAACTATAATATAGCCAAGAAGCAAGAGATAAATAGTCAAAACGAACATTCGTCTCTGTCTCTGTCTCTGTGAAAAACTGCATCTATTTTCAAGGAATACATTTTGAATTAAACAGAATAATTTGAGATTTTAACGCCATATCTATCCAGCTTGTGAAGTAGGATTTTGTGATCCAAACAGTCATATGCCTTTGACAGATTACAACTGTCACTTTTTGTACCTTTAACAGTTTGTGATAATATTTTGCAATTATAGTAATAAAACAAATCAAAGGATAATAGTATATTATGTATCAAGTTTGATAAACGCCATTTTATAAACGAATTTAATTTAGGCACGAGCGAAATTGCGAGGGAGTGCTTAAATTAATGAGTGTGTAGAATACAATACTTATTATTATCTTAAAATGATTTAAATCAAAAATTTGTATAGAGCGCCATCTATGAAACAATAGGGGAATCTGTGTGTCACCGTCAAATGTCAAATTTTTATAAACACAGATTATAAAGGTTATAAATCGAAATGTATTTATTGAAAATTGACAGTTTTTCACAGTGAAAGTAAAGAAAATGCTTTATGAGCACTTTACAGTGGAGTGCGTGCCCGAATTTAAGCTATAGTTTACTGCTGGTGAAATTAAAAGGTCAGTACAATGTTCATATAAACCTTTCAAATATTGTCGTTGAGAAACTATTTAATACTTTTGTATTTTTGTATTGAGATAATAAAATAATTTTAACATTTAGTATTATTTTACAAGAAAGGTACTTTATTTTAACGATTGTATGACATTTGACAACTGTCAACTAACTTAAAACTAACTTCAGCCCGTGACTAAAAACCTGTTGCTAACTTCAGCCCGTGACTAAAGCGCCATAAATCCACAACTTGTCAATGTGTATTTAAAAAGTCAGTTAGTATCATGGAAACATGTACGATAAAGGGAGTTTTAAAGGTGGGAGTAGAAAAAATATTTTCTTAACATAATCATATTTTATCAATAATTGTTAAGTTTAATTAAACTTAATAACGGGCAATATGTTAATTAAGTAAAAATTTTTATTGGTATGGTTACTTTATTTTTGTATATATGTCGCTTTATACAAATATTGAATTTAAATAATTTCTTTGATAAAATTAAGTATTTTTATTTGTATTAAGTATAGCATGCAACTCGTTTATAAAACTTTTATAAAATGGCATTTATCGAACTTGATACATAATATGCTATTATTTAATAGGTAAACATTTTTAGAAAACTTTGACCGTACTCATTTTTTTGCATGGGCTTTTCAGAAAAGTTTAACCCTAACTTTGCAAGATTCTACCCCCTGCAAATTTTTTTTTTTTATATTTTAATTATCTTAAAAACGGTAAGTTTTAGAATTTTTTTAAAATTTTTTAATAAGACGCTATAAATTTTTTTTTTGGTAGGTACTTTTTAAGTCTTAGTTTTTTCATCCCAAAGCGTCAACCCTATTAATATTATTATTATTAGAAAAACAAATACCTACCTATTGCAAAAATGGCGGATGCGCCGATGTTAATTTCATTATTTTTATTAATTGGCTACGAAAAAAAAAACGCTAAAAACAAATTATTAATAATTTTAACCATAAGTTAGTAACTTCAATTTATTTATTTTAAATTAATTGTTGCCCCCCGATAACCAATATGGGTTTCTACATATTTTATGAAAATTTCGTTTTTTATATTACTGCATTCGTCTCAAAAAGCCGTACAATTGATACAATATTAATAATTTTTGAGTGAGATAATGTTGTTAAATTAAGAAAATAAAACGATTTTTTATACCTATAGTTTTTGATTATTTAACATTCTCCATATTGGTGTAAGTAATTTACTGAAATTTACTGAAATAAATTTTTCAACAAAAAATTATTAAAAACGAATACAAAATTTCTGCAATCTCGATATTTTCGAGCAAAAAAAAACAACTTAAAAAATGCAATTTTTGTTATTCCAAATAAAAATAAATCACTTACAGTGAAACGTTTTTCAACTTCTGTAGAAGAAGAATTACATACATTATACAGTGACTTTGATATTGCTTTTTAGTTTCGCACATTATGATGTAAAATTTTTATATTTGCCGAAATTTTTGTAAAAGCTATGACGTCATCGGCCGTTTTTTTAAATTGTATCCCCTCTTTTTTTGCAGATTCGAATAGATTATGAAATTCTGAATTCAGCAATATGAACATGTACGAGGTGTGTTCAGAAAATATCGGGAATTTTAGTTTTTTGAAACAAATATTTATTTATTCGTCTACATTAATGTTGTCGCCTTCAAAATGGTCCCCATTGGATATTATGCACATGTGTCAGCTCTTCTTCCAATACTCGAACCACTTCTAAAACTCGATCTTTGGGATAGCCTTTGGTTCTTTCAGCGATGCGCTTTTAATGTCATCCATGCTTGCAAAACGAAGGCCCTTTAAGGTTCTCTTTATTTTTGGAAATAGGAAAAAGTCAGACAGAGGCATGACTGGCGAATATGGAGGCTGGGGCATCATTACAGTATTGTTTTTGGCCAAAAATTTTATTCAAAATTAGA